TTGTGGGTGCTGACATAATAAATACATTTTACCAATTTTTATGTAGATTTTCTTTTCAGTGGGTAACCCTGTGGGTAACATGGCTTGAGATTCTAAAGTCCACACAGACACGCGGCTCCCTTAGCCTCTGGTGTGCCCACCCAGAGAGATTTCACGCACATACAAGCAAATACACATTGGTCCACATAACCGTCTGCCACTTGCTTGCCTCATGTAACCATGTGTCTTCAAGAACATTCTACATCTGCACATATTGAATCTCCTCGCTGCTTTTCCGGCTACATAGAATCCCATTATGTGAACGTATCCTTATACACGTCAACCTGTCCCCTCTCAATAAACCTTTAGGTTCTTTCTAACCATTTGCTCTTACAAATAATTATCACCATACATTTCACCCTATAGGATAAATTTCTAAAATTGGGTCCAAAAGTAGGCAGATGTCCGAGTTGGATAAATACTGCCCAGCAGCCATGGCAACGGTATGGTTGGATAGTCCCTAGTTTCCATGGCCATCAGCACAGAAGACCACCGGCTTCCCCACAGTTGTCCAGTGTTCTCACCTTTGCCAGTCGGACCAGCGGGTAATGGTACCTCAGCAAGGCCTGAAGCTATCCTCCCATGCCATATGTGAGGTTGAGGTTCTTTTAGGATGTTTAATAGCTGCTGACATGACTACAGGTGAGCTGTAAAAAATAATAAACTAAGCACGCAGGTTCTGGCTGCCGAGAAAGGATTGTGGGGATGAGAGTGGAGGCAGGGAGCCCAGATGAAGGGGGGTGGGGAGTGGCAGATGGACCGGAGCCATCTGAAAGACTAAATAGAGGCCTTTGTGAGAGCTGTGTGTGTGTGCACTTGGGGGGGGGCGGGGGACAGCTGGTGGAGGAGAGGTCCTGTCAGAATTCAACTCGTCTCTGGCTTGTGCAACTTGAAGAAAGGTGAGGCAGGTTTGTGGGGAAGATCAAGTGTGTTTTCCACTGTTGCCATGAGAACTATTAACTTGCATTTACTATTTGCTGGGCCTCACATATTTGATGAATGGGAATGACAAGAAAGAGAGTTAATTTCATGCTCAGCAACAGGAATGAACCAACCCCAGGGCCCAGCACACACAGCTGGGGTGGTCAATTCTGGGATGGCGACCAGGTTCTGCCAACCTCAGCTCTCCGGGCACCCCTTCTCTCTGTACCCAATCAATCACCCCTATTGTGTTCAAACAATTACGTTGTCATTAGTAAATTATAGTTACATTCCTGTTTTCCACTCTGACCTTAAATCTCTACTCCGACCACCTTGAGAGGAGTTTGGGGATAACTACGGAGGCATGCATCTGAAAGCCACCTCTGGGTCCATCCTCTGAAAGAGGCCGCCAGCCCACCCACTGCTTGTGGACTTAGCTGTGTACCTGGCAGAGGGAAGCCCTACTCTCCTTATCTCTGTCTTCTCAGGAGGAGCTTCCTGGCAGCCTTCCTCTCTTACAAAAGCCAATTATTTCCATTTATAAAAGTGTAGGATATATTTTGGCTCTTCAACAACTAAGGTTTGAATACCAAGAGGTAGCTTTCTGTATACAATAAGCATGTGAAATACGTGTCCGGTGGTGAAAGGCGCAGGACTAACAGCTATTCTGGCTTTGGACTCAGCAGGGTGGTGCCATCCACGCTCACTCTGTGGATGCTGGGAACCCTGTGTCACATTCGTAGGTCACCTTGAGACACAGAAACCTGTTATTTCTGGCACTGCTGAGCATGATTATCTAAGCAAAGAGGACATTCAAGGCCATAAAACTCTCAGTTCATTCACCTTTTTGTAATAACTGATTTTAGAGAGAGGAAGGGAGGGAAGGGGGGAGGGGGAGAGAGATTGATTTTGTTGCTCCACTTATTGATGCATCATTGGTTGATTCTTGTATGTGCCCTGACTGGGATCGAATCCACAACTGTGTCATACTGGGATGACGCTCTAACCAACTGAGCAGCCCAGCCAGGGTCTCAGTTTATCATGATTTGAGTACTGTTTCAACAGCTCTGACAAAGGTAACACAGAAAACATTTTGGTAGACAGATACACAGAGTCTACTCTCCTACCCAAAATGAAATTGAGTCTCCTACCCCAGACTCCAGGAATAACTTTCAGGACTTGATCATCCCATTAACTGGAACATCACTTCTGGTCCTGCTCTCTTCCGGCCACGTGCCTGCCACATGGGTACCGCATCCACTCTGTGCCACTGTCAGTAAACAGAGCAAGGAACCTGGGGTTTAGATGACATATTTAGAGAAGAGCAGGTCCAGAGTCTGGCCCCTAACAGGGATAGGTCCCCTAAAACATGTAGCTGTTTCTCCTTTGGAAGCAGAGACAGTAGAGGGAAATGGTTTGGGAGGTCAGGCAGAAGGGGCCTTTCCCAAGCCATTCCCTCATTCGTAAAATGGGGTTAATATTAGTGTCCAATCTCATAGATGGGTCGAGTTTAAAATATTTAGCATAAAATGGGGATGGAGATTGTGCCCACATAAAAATTATGTTTAGGATGAGGTGAGACTCACCTACCAAGGTAGGAGGCCCAGGAAGGGAGGGTGTAGCAACAGCAGCGATCGAAGGAAATCTGTAACAATGAACGAACGTAACAGAAGAGCAATGGTCTTAGGCTTCCCCTTTAGGAAACTAGAAATAGATGTAGACACATTTTGTGAACTGTCACTGGCAAGGGCGATGGAGTTTAAGTCCAACTCTGGGACTTTGCCTAAGGCTTTATCT